CCTATATGGATCTAATTGGATATCTTGGAAATTATATTAAGTTTAATTTTTAGAATATTTTCAATTTTTTGGAAAAAATAGAAAATATTCTAAAAATTAAAGTTAAAATATTTTCCAAGATATCCAATTAGATCCATATAGGCATTGTAAATATGAATAGTAATCTGCATTTTCATGACTTTTAAAGATGTTTCGGTACGTTTTCAAACGGCTTGTTTAAAAATCCAAGATGGAGATCTGGTTGTCACGTGACTTAGTTTCCATGGCAACCAAGGCTTTAAGGTTCCTTCTTTTCACAAAAGACATTAACTTGCCAAGTTTGGGTAAGATTCGTAGAAAACTGGCTATGATATAGCTAAACAGTTTTTCATCTGAGAGCCATGCCTTAATGATGCTGAGTAAATAAAACCTAAGGTAGAGTGACTAAAATTATGATTGCCTCAACCTACAAGAAAGTACTTAAACTTAGTCTCCTCAGGAGCCGTTCTTGAGCGTTTACTTAACTATGTATACGGGTAAAAACTGCTTCCAGGAATATAAATTTCTTTAGCATCTCTTTCTTAGTTTATATAGCGTTGTTTCTTTAATTTATCGTATGTTGTAATTTTTAGTACTGTAATTCACTGCGATAATATTTGCTAGTAATAAACAACTTATCATATTAGAAATTGAATCTCGTATGTCATATTAGAAATTGAATCTCGTATGAGAACGTTTGGATTGTTGACCTTATAACAATGAGTATGCATTTATGCGGTGGAATTTTCATATTCTTTTTCATTATTAAATTACAGTTCTTAAAAACATTTTGAACTCTAAAAAAAAGGCGCGATCTCCAAGTCACGTGATCATATAAACGAAGTTTTACTTCAAATCAAAGACAACTTGTTTAACATCGAATAATTAAATGCATCAACATCGATAATTAATATTATTTGCTTTGGCAAATCTTCGATCATTTTCTGTCCCTTCAAATAAATCTAGCATCGTTTGAATTATTTTGAAATTTACAGGAAGAAGATGGCGGGAAAATGTCACGTGGCCTAGCAAAGAAGAATCCCAGATGATTCTAAAACCCTTCTTTGAAAATACGGCAATGCTCTGACAGGGCAAGAGGCAGAAAGACGTTGTTTTTGAATAATAAGTACGGGAAAGTACTTACTATTGTGACTACGATTGTCTGTATGAACAGGCACGTAGCACAGCCAAATATCTGGCTGGACACAAATGCAAGTGATACACACAACAACAACGCGAACAATCTCTGCAAGGTGTCCTCTTTTTTGATATAGAAGTCAACCTGTAGGCGAGCAATAGCGAGAAATGATCGATGAATATTGACTTGAGGCAACTTGTCTTGACAATCGATCATTTTAAATGTCAATTTGATGCAAGAAAAACAAGCGAGCAGATTGTTAGCCACGAAGATCGACCAGAACAAGAAAGGTAGGGAAGAAAGAACTTCAAAATACAGACAAAACATTATGCAAGCAGCGAAGCATATAACTTGACGTAGGGCCACCTTATGTGGCGAAAATGAATCACCTGATTTTGAGTTGTTAGATTCACTTTCGTTTTCAGAAACTTCATCAGCAAAGTGTTCTTTAATCGAAGATGTGTTTTGTTTTTGCGAACGATACCTTATTGTAGTTGTCTTTTCAGCATTACATGAATCTGTTGCCAAGTCACTGCTTGCAAGCTTGGGCGATCCTTCATCTTCGGATGTTGTTACGAAGTCTTGATCGTTGAGCTTTGATTCTTCGTCGGGATTTAATTCTTTGCTAGAATGACCTTCCGGCCAAACTCTTTCTTTTCTTGGTGAATTCTTCCCCGACTCTTTCCCTTTCGCTGCCGGCTCAGGATTCTTTAGATCTTCGCCACGATTCGATTTCACATTCTCTTGTCTCTTCTTTTTTTTGATATGCTTGTGACTTTTTTTTTTGTTATTGTTTCGTGAAGATTCTATCTTCAGATAATTGTACACATTATTATAGGTAATGGTGTTATTATTGCCAGCTATTAACTGTCCATTATTGTGTCGTACTTTTACATGGTATTCAGATCCATTATAAGCCTTCTCATCGCTGCTTCTAGCCGATTTTCTGGATGAATCTCTCGAATTCGCCATCGGTCGTTGTCAGTAAATCTTACATTACATGCAAGAGAGCGCTTGAATAATCTCTGATCAATTGTGAAGTATGAAGTCTACGTTTCTCGGCTCTAAGCCAGCCATTACACGCCTTAGTAAGAAATTACACCGCTATGTCTTTGATCGGATTGATAGAAGACAAAATCGACGTGACTTGTTTATAAGCTGGCGACTATGGCGAACGGATAATCGTGTGATAAAAGCAAAACTTAGCAACATACATGCCAAGTCCCATCAGTGTAAAAAAACAAAAAATTCGAGGGGGGAATCCCCAAATGATATAGCTAAACCGGTAATTTAAACCGGTTTATAGCACTTGAAACCAACCCTACTAAGCAGGATAAACAAGAAAAAGAAAATTGAATACAACTATAGATTTTCTAAGTTGTGACGTTATTTCGGGTCGTCCTACGTTTGCTATTAAAAAAGGTAAAATGATTAAGAAAACTATGCACAATAAAGCAAAAAATGTGCTCAATGATTTCAGGTCAATCAAAGAAAAAGAACTTAATCGAACGAAAGAATCTTGTTAGAAAGAGAAAAATTGGGGGAACGTTTAGGGGGGTCTTGATTGATGCCCCCACTACCCTGAAAATTTGGAAATTGTAAAGGCTCTCGAAATTCTAATTTTAGTTCCACAGTTTTTAGGGCAATAAATCCATTTCCGAGTTTTATAGAAACTTATAACAAAATAAAAAGAAATGAAAAGAAAGAAAGAAAGAAAGAAAAAAGAAAGAAATCATGTTTGGTTAAAAATGCGGGGGGCTTGCCCTCTCCCTTCTTTTCCCGTAAACCCACGTCGCCTTCGCCGTTCATGTCAATCTCGCGACTTGTTTCCAGACTTATTCCTTACTGCGCATGCACATGAATATATACATACACACTTTATTGATTAGTCCCTCAAGGCAATAGTCTTGTCCCGAATTTGCATGACTGATCACGAAACTTGATAAAGGAACTTTTAGGAATATAATTTAATAAGAAAACTTGTTGTAAAAGACAACGTTATTGATCAAGAAACACTGGTTTAAGCAATCTCGTACCTAGAGCCTTCGTTTCTTCTGGCTCGCGGCGAAGAACGAGGGCTCGGTAGCACCTCGGTAGCACTTTTTGGCGCATACACAATTTTCCGGAAGTGAAATATAATCATTGAAAATCATGCTTTCAAACAGAGTTCAGTGGTTACTTCCAATCAAAATAAAAATTAGAAATCGGGAACCTTTTTTCGCAAGTTTTTGAACACACGTAAAGTCCAAGAAATCCTGGTCTTAAAAAATGGATTATGCCAGAGCCCTTGTTCTTCGCCGTAGGCAAGAAGAAACGCAGGCTCTGTACGAGATTGGAATAAAAGAATCGAGTTCAGTCTCGACTTCAAACCATTGTTTCGTGGTCATCCAAGCGAAGTCAGGAAAGGTCTATTCCGAATCAATTACAATACCGAACGGAGTGAGCTAAAAGCTGTTTTATTCTTTATATTATATAGCTACTAATTTTTTTGGGTATTGAATTTATTTACTATCCTATATTACTATATAATATTACGATATAATTTAATTTAAAATCCAAAAATTCTATATACTAAATTACTAGAGAAATCAGAAAAATATTAAAATTATGAATGAAATTAGATAAACTTTTCCTCAAAAAATTCTAAATTCTAAAATCAGTGATAGACTTACAAAGTTCTAGTTTAAAATCTAAATCATTGCTCAAGGAAATAACTGTATAATGAAAACGTTTCTGTCCCTGACTATACTATGAAGGAGTATACTGAATGACCTTATTTTTTTCTTTAGTTAATAACTGAGAGTTTCTAGTTAGTAGACGTCCCTAAAGTCATATGGCTTTTAACAAACTTAGATGATAAATAGGCTGGGGCACAGCCAGTCTTCACACAAAAAGAACATACAGTCGTTAGTACAGTCAATTATCAGAGTTCCCTATGCTCGGCTGACTTCCACTGCCATCAGCATCACAGGACACCCTCTGATCAACAGTTTCTATATTACCCTCGTTGTGATTCTGCTCTGTGGGCATTTGCTCTTCAACAATATGTCTATTATTTTGAATGTCCTTTAGACGCTTTTTAGCTGGCCAGGAATCAAAACCATGTTGGTCAGCTAAGTCGACAGCCTGGAGAGCGAGCTCCTCTGCTTGACTGAAATCTGCTATACGAAAATAAACTGACTTGGCGAGCAAAAGCTGTAGCTGTTCGCTGACCGGAATTGCGTGTCTTTCTTGGTTTTCCCTGTCAATCTCATCAATACATTTCTTGGCTTCTTCCAAGTCTTCATCAGTTATTCGTCTTTTTCGACCCTGTTGAGTAGAGCATCCTAACAATACCATGATTTTCTTGAACTGAGCAAATTGACCTTTCTCTATGAAATCACAACCTTTCTTCTTTTTAAGTTGTCGACAAAGTTCATAGCACTTTTCGAAGCTTTCTTTTGCTTCCTTAACACCTCTTTTATCGAATTCATGGTATAGACTTCCCTTCTCGTAAAACACCGTTGCTTTGTCGTACAGAAAGCTTGAATCTGCGGTGTTCTGAAATATCTGCTCTGCTTTGGTTATGAATACCTGTGCTCTTCCCCACAGCTTCGTTCTACGATGCACGGACGCAAGGTAACAATAAAATCGTCCATGGAAAAACTGAGTGATAGATGGATGAATGTCTTGCAGTGTTTCGATTATTTTCTTGCCTTCACGAAGGGTCTTCTCAGCTTCTTCGAGGTACCGTGAATTGTACTGAGGGTTATAGCATATTCTAATTCCATACTCTAACTTCAGCAAAGCTTTCCAGATAGGATCATTGCCGTATTTTACGAAGAATTCATTCCACTTCTCGTCAAATAAGCTCCACTTTCCATTATCTCTCAAGGGGTGAACAAATTTTTGAACGTTTTCAAAAAACATTTGGCCAAGTTCTAAGCATTCTGGAGAGTCTAATGGAGCTGATCTAATCTTTCTTATTGGCTGTCTTGTATTGGCCGTTTTGTTGGCAGGCTTCTTCTTTCGTTGTTTTGATCGCGTGACGGGTTCTGATCCCGTCATAACATCATCTCGTGAAACGTATAATTTACGATGTACCGTCGAGCTACCGACGACTTCGTTGTTTACTTCCGCCTTGCTGTCGTTTTTCATGTGAATCTTACATCGATCCCCAATTTGTAATAAAGAGGCTTCATCAGAGTTAACCTCTATTTCAATTAGTTCATTACCACCCACATTTAGTTGAACAGCGTTCGCCTGGATAAATATTATCGACGTTCCACTAACACTTTCGTTATTTAAGTCCACACTTGTACAACGCATATTCGAATTCCCTTCGGCTTTAGTTCGGCTTCTTGGAATCTCCAAGCCGATAATTTCATTGTTGTCACCGATTTGGGTAAGTTTAGAGTTGATTTTCAACACGATTTTCTTGAATTTTCGGTTATCTGAAGGCAGGATGGCCTTAACGAGATTACCTGTGATTAAGCTACTGTTTTCTGTAGTCGAAGCTGCCATAATTCAAGGGTTTTCCAGGTAAAACTTTGTCTTCGTCGCTCCGTCCTTCCTCAGTTGATTACGGTAAATAATTTTCGTGTATGTCGATATCGTTTGTTTAAAACCTTCTTAGAACACGAAACATGAAAAAACAACCGTTCCAGCGTATAAGCCATTGCTTGGCACGAAGTAAACAATAATCAGGTTGTTTTTGGAAGCCAAAGAACTGTGTAGAACAAGCGATATCGACAGAATACATACAAGACTGAAATGAGTAGAAAATATTTTTGTTTTGGTTAGCGGCTTTAAAACCCGGTGATTCCCCTTTAATTTCTAATTGGTTTAAATGTACTCACATGTTCGTCACATGTTCGTCACATGTTCGTCACATGTTCGTTACATGTTGCACACCCACAGGAGCCTGTCTTTAAACCACAGGGAGCCCAATTGGAGTCTTTCTCGTTAGGCATCTGTCTCGTTTGTTTACATTGTCGAGAAAAGCTTTCGTTTCAGACTGACGATCCTAGTGTCAGCACTGAATGCTTTCCGATTCTGCGGTTACAGCTCCCATACAAACGATTACTATAGAATTGAAGGGGTCACTTCCTTTACGATAGTAGATTAACGACGTTTACTCTTTTTAATGCATATCTTCTATTTTTAATTCACAAATACTTGATTTTTACAATGACGTCACGAAACATCTAAAAATAGTATTGATATTAAAGTCACACATTAATTTGAAAACAAAAACTCTGACATTAAAAATGAAGATATAAACGTAATATATATTAACAAAAAACACGAAATAAATAAATAAATAAAATGTAATGTGAAAGAAAGCATAATTTGGCTCATTTCAGTTATCTAGACTCATTATTCTCATTGCTGATCACTTTTTTCCTACAAATTATTTAACTTTATATTTATTATTAATGATCTTTAATGGCTGAAAATATATTTTACTACCGCCTGAGTTTATTAAATGCCCAAAAAAGCTATGTGCCGTTTTCCGGCATTCACTAAATACAATCGTATCGTTTCCATGGAAAGTGATGTATTTATATCTTGCAATATTCATCGATCGTGTCATTGTGACCATGGCAACAAGACTCGATCCTTGATCGTGTTTGTACTGTTTCATTCAGTAATAGGAGGGTGTTTCCATGAAATCGGACTCACTTGAGCTGACGTCACCGTTCTGACCTTCACTGATATCTGATGACGTGTAGGTGTAGCCACTGTTACCATAGCAACAAGGTTCTTTCTTCACTTGCTGTTTTCTTGCGATCTCTTCTAGTCTATCTTGGGCGGGTTTGATTTCCGTGTTGAAACCAAACGTCTTGGCCATGCTAAGTACTTCGTTGGCGGTTTCTTCAGCCTTGGGGAAGTCCTCCAGACGAAAATACAAATCTGCTAAGCCAAGAAAGTACTGTACTTTCTCTCCCTGAGCGATTCCATCCCAGTATCGTGTCCTCAGGGTCTTCAAGCTTTTTTCTGCCTCTTTGATACTTTCCTGACTGACTGTTCTTTTACGACCTGTTCAAAAAAGTAAAAATTTCCGGTAAATTCACATCTTTGCTCCCCTTCCCTTTATGAAGATGCGTTCCCCTTCCTCGGAAAGATGTAGCCTTCCTTAGCTCCCATTTAGCATATGTTAAGCCTCTCGTCCTACCAGACGCTGTTGGTGAATTTACATCTTTATTGCTCCCCTTGCCTTTAAGAAGATGCGTTTCCCACCCCTGGAAGGATGTAGCCTTTCTTATCTCCCATTTAGCACATACGTTAAACCTCTTGTCCCACCTGACGCTGTTCGACAATCCAAGAGAAGCATCGCCCTCTTGATGAACGCAAAGTGATGTTTCTTCACGTATCGCAGGCATTCAGTGTCTTCTTCTAGTGCGGTACATCCATCAATACATTTGATCAAGCCAGCTTTAGCATCGTTTATCATGCTGGCTGGTGGATTAGGGCACTTGGAGATAAAATCCATTAAAACACTTGCTCGCTCGTACGCCAGAAACGTACTGTCCAATGTCAAGTGTTTGTTGTGAAAATTCTGTTCAGACTTAATGACGCAATCGTTTGCTTTGCCCATCAGGTTTTGTCGACGATACACGCCAGAAAGGTAGTGAAATCCCCTTCCTGAATTTTTAAAAATATATTAAAAACTGAATGAATTTAATTGACTCTCTTAAGTAAAGTACCAAGGGTGGTGTAGCTATAGTGCCGCGATATAAGGTTATAAATTTCAGTATTTGACCAATGTAAATATTGAAGGTGGTGAATTGGTCTGTCTCAGGGGTGTGGGCGGGGGGAATTCGGGG